TGGATTCTGGTGAAGGGGACAGGATTTGAGGGCTGTTATCATTCCGATCCAGGATAAACACGCTGACCGTGACGTTGCTGCTGAGAGGGGGACTACCGCCATCTTGAGCCTTCACCTGCAGCTGGAATTCTCTGAACTGCTCGTAGTCAAAGGATCTCTGGGCGTAGATGGTGCCAGTCTCAGAATGAATGGAGATACAGGAAGAGATGGGAAGTTCTTCAATGTTGCTGGTGAGGATGGAGTATGTGATCCGTGAGTTCTGGTCCACATCTGGATCAAAGGCCTGAATCTGGAAGATGGAGGCACCAGAAGGATTGTTTTCTGGCACATAGATGCTGTAGGAAGCTTTCTCAAAAGCAGGGGCATTGTCATTGATATCAGAGATCTGCAGCAAGATGGTTTTGTTTGTACTCAGTGGAGGAGTTCCCTTGTCAGTTGCTATGATTGTAATATTATACTGAGATGCTTTTTCTCTGTCCAGAGGTCTGTCTGTCATGAGCTTGTAGTAATTTTTAGATGATGGAAGTATCTTAAATGGCAAATCACTTTGCAAATAGCAAGTAACCTCTCCATTATCACCAATGTCTCTGTCTTTAACATTTATAAGAGCAATTAAGTTTCCAGATTCAGAATCTTCAGGAATTGGGTTAAACACAGAGGCTAACTGTATTTCTGGTATATTGTCATTTTCATCTGAAATTTTTATTTCAATATTGCAGTGTGTCACCAGTCCACCACCATCTTTTGCTGCAACTGATACTGTATACTCTTCAGTTTCTTCAAAGTCCAGCAACTCTGTGAGATAAATTGTCCCTTTGATTGAATCCAATCTGAATTTTTGTTTAGCAGTGGGTGGTAAATTGGTGAAATGATATGTGATTTGGGCATTTGTCCCTTCATCTTTATCGGAGGCTTCCACCTGAAGCACAACAGATCCAACTGGAATATTTTCTTTCAAATTAACTGTATATGTATCTTGAGTAAAAATGGGTGGGTTGTCATTGGCATCAGTGACATTAACCCATATATGGGCAGTCCCAGTTTTTCTTGGTTCACCCCCATCCAGGGCTGTAAGGATCAAACGAAGGCTCTGTTCGCTTTCCCGATCAAGGGGTTTCTGCAGCACCAGTTCTGCATATTTAATTCCATCTTTTCTCTCTCTAACCTCCAGTGAAAAGTATTGATTGGGACTCAGTATGTAATTCTGGAGAGAATTAAGGCCAACATCTGGATCTTCAGCTTTTCCAATGAGAAATCTTGTGCCTGGCAAAGTTAGTTCACTTGTGTCCAAATTGATATTGTCATTGAGGAATTTGGGTGCATTATCATTAATATCCTGGATTGTCACTGATATATGGAAAACATTTCGAGGGTTTTCCATCACAGCTTCTAAGTTAACAAGGCAAAGAAGGCTTTTCCGACAGATTTCTTCTCGATCTATCCTGTCATTTACATAGAGGTTTCCATTGTCTGCACTGATAATCAAATACTGCATTTTATCCAAAGATACAGAATGAAGTTTACGATATTTCAATTCTCTTTCACTCAATCCCAACTCCTTGGCAAGATTTCCCACTATTGAACCCTTTGTCATCTCCTCAGGTATGAAATAATGAATCTGCTGTGCAATATTGTGGTGGATGAATGACAAAATCAGGAGAAACTGTACTTGCCTTGAGAGTGCCCTGGCACTTCTTCTGTGCCTTCTCTCCATCAGTCTTTTCCACAACAGCAGTTTCCTTTTCCCAGCTTCTTCTGATCTGATCAAATTCTCTTGGGGATGAAGGAAATATCAGTAGAAGTAATATTTGCCTTTTTCTTAAATGTATTTTTTTCTCCCTTTGCAGCAGTGCGGTATTGTGCTCTTCATTTTCTTCTATCGTATACAGCAGTGATGGGAGCTGCTCAGGCTAGGAGGCCTCCATTCGATCTCTATGCTCTTTCAGGCTATCAGGTTGGGCAACAGCAGCACTCTGAGGTTCAGACAGGGAACTGCAGGGACAGTCTCTTAATCCGTACAAAACAGAGAGAGGGACATGTTTTTCTAGAGCTGGTGTATTTAGGGAAAATATTTTTTTTCTCTTTTTGTACAGTACCGTACTAGGAAAATAATTATTGCAACACTAATCAGAACTGATGTCCAAACTAGCAGAGAGCCAATTTCCCATATAGTAAAATAATATTAATCTCCAGTTCTATTAAATTCCTCTTAATTTGTTATAGTATCCACCTTTTTATTGAAACGGATCTGTCTTGTATATTAATTCCGAAATGGCCGAACATATTTCTTGTTATAAGCACCAGAATGTTAGCATTTTCCAAATATGCTACAGATAATTCTTGAATTAATAATCAGTATTATTCACCTGAATGATAATAATGATAATAATAATTCAAACTTAAGGAGTCGATGGAAGTTACTGTAAAATCCTGGTTCTTCCCTAACATTTCCAACCAAAGAACATTTTCCCACTCTTATAGGAAAGGATTAGTTAATCTTCATGGTTATTAGTTCTTCATTAGTTAATCTTCACCTGCCTAATTTTTGCAGTCCTGAAAAATATCAGTCTTTTCCTTCCAATTTTGACAACCTATAAAATGATGGGCATTACATCAAAAGTGCACATGATTTATATACAGATGAAACCTCCTGTCCAGAGACATGTATGTGTGTTTTTTCAGAGTTTCTTAAAACTTTCTCTGTAAAAAGGAGTGCTTTGGGGTTGATAATCCAGAATATAAATATGCATATAATAAGCAAATATTCTAATGCATAATAAATCAAATGGCACCCAAAAGTAATACGTATAGGCTGCTTAAAGCTCCAGCTGAGATTCTTTTTCCATTGTGATATCCAAGAAGTACTAAATGTTCTTGCAAATGTATCCGAGTTGCTTTTAGATGGACCCTCCTTTTCGGGACACTACCTTAATTGTGCCACCCAGACACAGTTCTGCTATATGCAAAATGGACGCACAGTCTTTGTTACTTTTAAGTGCTAATTCAAATGGCACTTAAAAGTATTACTTTTATACTTTTAAGAAAAGGTGTTATTTTTATACTTTTAAGAATATTTTAAAGAAAAAGTAAAAGTATTCAAATGGGCTTTGTAGCATACCTAGTCATATTCAGCAAAATAATGTAGTTTTTATAAATTTATCTATCAGTTGAATAAATATGAAATGTTGCTAAAATTATGTACCAAATATGACATAAGCACTGTCAACATATCCAAATATACTAATACAAAAGTACAACCGTTTTCTATAAAGTGAAATTGTAAAAAAAAAAAAAAATCAAGAAAGAGAAGGGATAGGACTATTCAGTGTAAGACAACATACCGAGCATTCTTGAATTTTAAGCATACTGTAGATATAATCATGTGAGGTAGATCAATATTATTATACACAGCAGAAGAAAATCAATGCCCATATTAAAATAATTATTATTATATTATACACTGATGGGGTCTAAGCTCCGTCTCCTGCATCTGGTTGATCATTGTGAGAAACAAATGCTGGGCAAAGATGATCATGAGCCCAATACAAACAGGGCTGTTCTTATGTTCTTCATACCTGGGCAATTATAAAACATACCATAGTGGAATCAGTCTATAAGCACCTTAACAACGAGTGAATATTAGAGATCAGCACAGATTTGTTGAAAATAACTCTTGTTTTTGACAAATCTCCTGTCTGGAGAAGATTGTAGAAATGGTGCAGACACAATCATTTTCAACAAAACATTTGACAAAACATCCCATAATATTCTTATCAACAAGCTAAATGGAATAATTATTAAGTACATCCACATATGAGAGCCAGTTTGGTATACTGGTTAAAGGCACTAGGCTAGAAACGGGGAGACCATGAGTTCTATTCCTGCCTTAGGCACAAAGTCATCTGGGTGATGTTGGGCCAGTCACTCTCTCTCAGCCCTAAAAAGAAGGCAATGGCAAACCACTTCCGGAATCTTGCCAAGAAAGCTACAGGGACAAGTCCAAGCAGTTACTAGGAGTCAAGAGTAACTTGAAGGCACAAATAATAATAATTAAAAAAAAACCACAAACAATTTGAAAAGCATACCCAAGGAGCACTTATGAAAACAGAGGTTCCTTAGATAGTCTCATAAATAATGTGGATAACTAAGTGAAGAAAACGCTTCTCAAATTTGGGAGGGATAGCTGATACAATATAAACATAATCAGTTAGAACAAAGGTAGTTGTAACAGACATTTTCAATATCGTTATATGTTGCTGCTGTTTTCCTTAGGAGGAAAATATTCCTTTGTACCTAGGAGACTCTTCCTCTTAATTCAAGCTGCAATGTGGTGTTAGGTTTTTTGTCAGGATCACAGAAGAAAGTAAAGGGTTATACTTCTCTCTCCATCTATTCCAGACCCAGTCCTGCCTGTCACCCTCTTGACCTTTATTTCCTTTTTACAAAAGTATGTTAGAATAATAATCCATGTCATGATACATTTGGTTTAAAGATTTGAGTTGATGTCAAGAGGGAATCATCATTTCATTCATGGAGCTTGTTAGTAGTTATCACATGCTGAATATACAAGATGAGCTTTTCCTTAGAATATAAATTCAAATTTGGTCAAAGACTGTAATAAAGATATTTGATTTGAAATTCAGATTGTGATCTCTTCAATTAAAAGATCTCCCAAGGATAGGAAAAATCATACTAGAATACCAAAATCCAAATGAAGCATCCAAGTTACTATCAATGCTTACAGAAAATATATAATAAAAAATAGTATCTTGAATATTGGTGACATGGCTGGATCTTTAAAACATTTAAACTTTTGTAAGAGATAGATATTAAGGGAAAATTGATATACAGTTATTCTAACTCTGTAAACAACAGGTAAGTAGATATTGAAGTGAAAATTTATCTATTTCTTCTCTAGAACATCTGGAAAATAAATTATATTAGGCATCATTTGATATAACCTAGATTATTACTGTTTTGTCTCTGAAAGCTGCTGACAGGTTAATGTTTCTTTCTAGAAAGAAAATTCCTTTTCTAGAATCAGATCTCATTACAGTAGGAGTTGAAGAAAAAAATCTGATTCCACCAATCCTTATAAAGTATGAAGTTGGAACAGTGCTAAAATGTATTGTCCTAAGATCATGTATTTGAGACTTCATCTACCTATGCATTCTAAGTTGCAAGAACACAAGACCAAGTAACACAATACAGAAATGAAGCCAAAAGTCACTACAACCACCAAAGAAGATCTGGCAGACACTTAAAACAGCTAAGTTATTCATGAGTTGTCAGGGGATTTCAGGAAGTCTCTTGGCCATTGTACAATGACAGAAACAGAGGCAGACAGATAACTGTTTAGTATTCTTCATGAAACCCTCTGCTATATTTCTCCAATAAAAAATATCACTGCCCTGATCATTCCAGTGCGGCATCCCACAGTGAAGACTCTGTGTCTTGGATAAACGAGCCAGAATTCATATTTATTTTTCAGGACAACACTCTGGCCAGAATCCTTGTTTACTGTCACCACCTTATTGATCTGGTAATCTGGTTCAAAGGAGTGAGGGACCAGCTACATTCCAATAGTGGGAGGAGAGAGAGACAGTATTTCTAGAGTAATATTGTTCTGAGCCAATATGAAAAGAATCACTGTGGACTCTTCACCATTGTTTTCATTCCCAAATTCTCAAAAGCAGGTTTAAAGCATTCTGTCACCATCTTTACTTTTGCTAACTGGAAATATTGAAAAGAAGGAATGAAAACCACAGCCCTGCACTGAGCTCCTGCTGCAACACAAATCCCTCACCTTCGCTCCACACAAAAGGGAAAGAAATAGAAAAATCCAGTAGCCAGGTATGTGGGCAGGGGGCTTATGGTGCTGAAGAGAAGGCAAAATTGGCAATTTCATACCTGCTTGTTTGGTTTGGGTTATGGCACGGCATTTCCCTTATCGGACCTGAAACTCAGGGGCTGGCAGGAGGGATAAGGCAAGAAAAAGTCCCTCCGTTTGGAATATGGAGGCAGAGTATCTCCCACAAAGTTTCTCCTGCTTTTGCAGTGGTTTCAAACGCAATGAAGTTGAACTGTAAATAAGTCAGCTAAACTCTCTAACAGTACTGATGTTGTGGAAACATAGAGGTCTGCTGCTTCTTTCCAATAGGGCAAAATCCTCATATGGAAGTGCCCTGAAGCATAGAAATTGGGCAGTGGAGGGTCTCAGTCTTGGCCAGGAATTGAATCTCCTTAAGTTTTTCATAATCAAAAGAGAACAGAGAATTAATAGAACAGGGAAATGCAGGCAAACCATACAATCATTTACCCTCAGAGAAAACATGGGGACTCTTCTTGTGTTATTCTCTATTAAATAGATCTGTAAACTAAACTGATTGCAAAAAAGAGCAAGCTTTTGTTTTTTCTAAAATCTGAAGTGGAAAAATAATACATGTGGGAAATAGAAGGGATGACTAAGGGTTCCTCCAAACAGCACCTTACATGTGCTTTCCTCTAGTCTGTGAAGTGAAGAAAAGAAGGCTGGCATAGTTGCTCTGTTTGCCAGCTGATCTCTGTTTGGCTTCAGTAATGGGTTTGGTTGTAACTGGTGTTGCCCTTAACATTTTAATGTGAGAGGTTCATGTCAGTGATTGGTGGCTGTGTTTCCCCTCCTACCAGCATTCCTACTACTACCTGCAAGTGGGAAAAACAACCAACAACCACTCTCCTTAACATTGTGGTGGGATGGAGTTAGCAAGGAGCCTGAACATTAGAGATCGGGGATTCTTCCTCCAGTAAAAGCTTTTTTAAAAAATTATTTTTTATCCTGCCTTTATTATTTTTATAAATAACTTAAGGCGGTGAACATACCTTAAT